TTCCTCAAATACTCCATTTGTCGATGGATACGTGATCATCAGGCATGACAGCGTCTTTCGATGCTTGTCGATCATTTCCTTCAAATGCGCCATGTCGACGGAACCGTCCTTTCGCACGAGGATCGGTTCCACCTGCATACCCGCCATTTGAGCGGACGCAGGATTTGTACCATGCGCGGATATCGGAATCAAACAAACTTGTCGATGTTGATCGCCCTTCGATTCGTGATAACATTGAATAGCCCTCAGACCTGCGTATTCACCTTGCGCTCCGCTATTCGGTTGGAAACTAATGCCATCGTACCCGGTGATCGCGCACAAATCTTGTTCCAATTCGGTAAATAATTGTTGATATCCTTTGGCCTGTTCGAGTGGAGCGAATGGATGTATATCTGTGAAACCTTTCAAACTGCAAGGCATCATCTCCGTCGTTGAGTTCAGCTTCATTGTACAAGAACCCTAATAAACAATATCATTAATGTTAATGATAAAGCAAACGGTATGTTATAATATTCGGAATATAATATTCATAAAAGTAATAGTCACCAGTGGAATCATGCTATGTACAAGAGATACATCTTTATTTTCCAGAGACTTCATGTATCTGACTATCCTCGTCTCCGAGTGATAGCTATTGAAGACAGGATGCTGTAAGTATGGAATAGTACGGTGGAAATCTGACTTGTCTAAACTCCTGGCGAGAAAACTATCATCTTTAATCACATCCTCAACCGTGATGCTCGTCGAAAATATCTTAAAAAGATCATTTACATCTTCTGTTGTTGTCGTTTCATCGAGAGATATACCGATCTTACCGTTGCTAAAATATCTGTAAATTTTTCATTCATGATTTTATTGATTTAATGATTGATAAAATTATTAATTATGGTCTTCTATTTAGAGAAGTACCTTAGATTTATTTTAGCTTCATTCGCATTTTCCTTTATCGTATGCACAGAAATTTTTGGCGACACTGTGATAGTGTCGAAAAAGTATATGTTATTTATTTCGTTTCCAGCCACTTCTAAGCCCTTCGCCAAGGCTAACGTTAAATTGTGTACTCTGTTCGCGATATCGCATATTCCTTGAGGTCCATGATACACCGCATACATTGCGGACATATTAGCCAACAATGCTTGAGCAGTACAAATATTGCTGGTAGCTTTGTCTCTCCTAATATGTTGCTCGCGTGTTTGAAGAGCTAACCGATAAGCGTCCTGTCCGCTGGAATCTCTCGTGACACCTATCATCCTGCCGGGCATCAATCGCACCAGTTTCTGCCGGCACGCGAAGAAACCAGCGTGAGGTCCACCGTACCCGAGGGGCACACCAAAACGTTGACTCGTACCCACGCATATGTCGACACCGAAATCGCTCGGTGGTTGAAGTACAGCTAACGCAAGTAAGTCAGTGGCAGCGCAAACGAGTGTCTGTAACGAAATGTATATTGTTATTCTGAAACGTTTTTAATGTATGTACACTTATTTATATATTCATGTCTAATCATTTTTTTATAAAAATTGCAGAATTTTTTTCTCTTCTATAACAAAAACATTTATAAAAATCAAATGTTTGCCATTAGATATGATTTTTAACGAGAAATACCCCATTAGTATGTGCCCTTTTAACAACATCCTCGAAATCATGGATGCAGCCAGTTGTATCAGGATACTGCACGAGGATACCAGCAATATCATTTCCGCTGGTATCTACTTTAAACACATCTCCAATTTCTAGCGTTAAACCCAAGGAAGCAGCGCGCGTGGCGATAACACTGATAGTCTGAGGATGTACTTGGTCGGAGACAAACAATTTTTTCCTTTTATTATGTCTATATGCAAGCGCTAGAGCTTCTGCTGCCGCTGTTCCTTCGTCCAAGAGAGAAGCATTCGCCACTTCCATCCCGGTGAAATCACATATCATGGTTTGGTAATTCAACAAGCCTTCGAGTCGTCCTTGCGAAATCTCTGGCTGATAAGGAGTATATTGCGTCGTCCTGTGGCGAAATACAATAAACTTGTTTACACAGTTTTTCTACGTATCATATATTTATCAATTTTAGTACAAAAACATTTACCAGCCAGGATTTTCAAAAATGTTACGCATGATTGTGTGCGGTACGCAGCAATTGTGATATCCCATGCCTATGTAAGAGCGCCATACATCATTCTTTTCCGAAATTTTTGTGATCCGTTTTATTAGATCATATTCAGCTGCAAAAATTATTTGTATTAATTTTACTTTTTGTAAAACGATTTAAAACTTCAATTATTATTTGACGATATATAGCGTTATTGAAAAAAAGGATGCGAAAATATAATGAGAAAAATAGTACAAATAGCAGCATGCTATTGCAAAAAAAAATTAAATTTAGAAATGTCTGTGACGGCATATGATTAAGTCTATTTGTGAGAAGAACACGTGAAAGCGAAGCAAATGCACGAGATTGAACTGTGACTTGAGATAACAATAGAGATAACCCGAAAAGTTATCAATATTAGGGCGTATTGAAGCGGAAAGTCTCGTGACTTGTCACGTTTTCACGGAATGACCTACAATATTATTTTTTAAATATATATGTATATATATATATTTATATTTTATATATATATATATAAAAGAATGTATATTTAAAAATGTTATAGGTCATTTCGTATATAATGTATTAACGTATTTTAAAATATATATATTATAATTACATATAAAATTTTAAAATATATATAAACTTGCATAATTTGGCAAATAATAAAAGGATATAACATTTTAACATAGATTAGCATGATCTAATGATAAAATTTAAATATTATTTAAATTGATCAAAAAAGCTACTCACTAACTGGCTCATCAAGATTTAAATCTCCCTTGTGAAGAATTTTAGCTGGCACTGCCGTTTCCGTTAATTCATCGAGACTCTGCAACATTACGTCGCAAATAAAAATTAATCCAGTTGCAATATATTTTTTTTTATCTAAATGAATTTCAGATGTAAATTACCTTAAATCCAATTAGTCTCAACATTTCTATCTGTTCGTGTTCCCTGGGTCCAATGTGTCTCACTTGAAATTCTCCTCTTTGTAGAAACAATTTATCCATATTCTGCTTTTGTAAACTGCTCAATTGCAAACCGCGCGCATGTCGAACCACAATATTGTGCTTATTTAAAAGCATGGAACACCTTGCCATGTTTAAAGTGTATCGCATCATTATTTTCAAGAATAATGTGCACAAACTTATTTTTAATAATAAAATGCGGCGCTTAATATTAACAATGGTAACTCGCGAGGATCTTCTCAAAACTAACGAATGTTAAACCTGACAGAGATTTTATACTCAGTGCATCGATATCGCATGATGATGTCACAACTTCTGATTACAGCTTGAACTCTTCAGCTTTTGAACTCTGAGCCATTCGACGTCTAAGACAATATTGAGAAATTATTTTCGCCGTTGTATCTCGTGACGCTACAAAGTTTAACGTTTGATCTAATGGATAATCTAACGGAACTTTTATCATAAACATAAACATTTTATTTTTATTTTCATTTCGCAAATGTTGTGCAACACTCGACAAATTCCGCACAGTACGGAAATAATTCTTATAAATTTGAGATTATAATAATCTATTTAATCATTAATTTGATATGTTTTACATTTTAATACAATTTTTCAATATAATGAAAAGATTAATAAAATAAACATGCCTTAGATTCCATAAAGATTGTTTATTTACGAAATTTTATCGATACAAATATGTGTACGTAAATTAGTACGTAAATTATACAAGATCATTTTCTTGTAACACAATTTAATATTGCTACGCTATATTATGTACATCTTAAAAATAATTATTATCTTAACTTAATAATTATTATCTTAAGCAAAAATATTGAAGAACCATTAACTTTATTAACTTTTGATTTTCATATTAAAATATGAAAATCAAAGTATAAAAATAATCTAATAATAATTAAATTATTCTTCAACTGATTTTGACAAACAAATGATAATTGATTTTAAAAAAATGACAGAAAAACTAAGTTTTACTTCATAAACTTATCTTGATTTTGCGAAAGTATCTTAGCAGATGACTTAGCATCTAAGAAAAGTGCATTGACTTCTTCAATGTCCTCCTTCTTAATACTAGTTCTCTCATTGACTTTCGCCGTTAAAGAAGCAGGTGTTAAAAGTTGTACTACGTATCTCAGAGTAGTTTTCGTGCCAAGTTCGCCAAGGAGGGATAAAGCTTCATCATCGATTTGCAATCCTTCCGTGACAGCTCTAAGTTTTACTATCTGCTCGATTTCTTGTCTAGAATATGGAAGAGTTCTTATAATAAGAAGACGGTCCAATAGATCGAGAGGTATGCCGTGTGGAGAAACAATATCTTCGGTTCCTCTGATCACACAGCGGCCACGATTCGTAGCAAAAATAACGATCGGTGCTATAGCACTCTCCAGTGCGCGGTGTAAATATGTAAACGTCTCTATGTCTAGCATATGAACCTCATCTATGAATAATACTCCTGGTACCAATTCAGCAATGCCCTGGTCGATATATTTGTTTACTACTTTGTTTATCTCCTTCCGCAATTTATCTAAAATAATTTGTTTTTACTTAGATATGTTTCTAATATATAATTAAGAAAAATTTTTAAGATATATAAGTTATTTTATATTTTACAAAAGCAGTTCATTTATATTTTATTTTGAGTTTTAGATTTTAATTTTCAATAGTATTAATTTGTAACTAATTATTGATACTTTAAAAAATCATGTGCTACTGATTTTTTTCTTTTACCTGTAATTTCAGTTTTCTTAGGTTTCATCAATTGTCCCATCATGGACATTATATCTTGTCCACCTTGTGGTTTGGAGTTAGCCACATCCAAATCATGCAATGTTACATCTTGAATGACTTCCTTCTTTTTGTGTACATCACCCTTTGGTAAAGGAACATATTCCTCTGCTTCCAAATCAAATTCTGTAGCAAAATTATCGCTTCGACCTTGCCTCTTTACTGCTCCACTATTGGCTTCAATGTAAATTACATCACCAGTTTCCACTTTCTCTTTTTGCAAAGATTCATATATCGAAGGATCTAATTTCAATTGTTTTGTGCCTTTGGAAGTCTTTAATCCAAGGACTACATGAGATACAGTTTTGCCATAACCACCCATAGGATTCTCTGTTTCAACAGGGGTAAGTTCAGTGACTTCACCCTCATATACTTCTTTAGTTTCTTTGATTCTCAAGCCAATGGCTCTTCTAAAATTTTCCATGAGAACTTCTGTTTTCTTAATTTCTGAACTATAAACTTCCGAGCCCACCATAGGGCAAAAAGGCACTTTGTTACCAAGTTCTTGAGCCATGGCAAGAGCTATTGCAGTCTTGCCTGTACCTGGTGGACCAGCTAGCAATACTGCACGTCCTGCCATTTTCTTTGACTTTATCATATCGACGACAATTCCTGCTGCCTGTAAAATAATATTACTGAAAATTGATCTATATTAAATTATCATCAACCGTTCATTTTTCCTCTTCTTTATTATGTAGAGAAAAAGAAATGATGAACGATACATGAAGTTCAATTAAAAAGAATAAGCTTTATGTAGAAAATAGATTCATAAGATTAATTAGTTGTTAATAGGAGATGAGGAATAGTTTAATCAATCAAGTTTAATCAATCCAATTGGTCTTGGTTTTTCTGATTTATATATGACGAAAAATAATAAGCGTAGTCTACAATGGACAGTAGCAGTAGTGGATGAATCGTAAACCATAAGAAAATGATCAATCACAGTTGAGGCAAATAATCAACTGTAATTGATCAATTTCTTACGGCTTCACTCATTCATTCACTGCTACCCATTGTAGACCACGCTATATATGTGAGAAAATATTAACCTCTCGTGCCATTTCTTGCCCAACGAGGCCGGCCGCATTTTGAATGGCCGTGCCATTTTCATCGAGACCCAGCCCTTTGATGTGCGTGTGAGCCGAGATTCTCTGGGTCTTGGCGGTGCTCTTCACTTCTTCGATCTTCATCGCCACGTTTTCTTCGCAAAATAAAAGCGGTGCGAAGAAACGATAACGCTAAAAGAGAGATTGAGACCACGTTGGAGACTGGAACACGTTGCCAGAGTGCTTGTTGATTGATACACATATTCATCCACATAGACCAATGAGGAATGGCTAATTTGGTGAAGGCTCGCCATTGGAGGAAATTTCACGCAGCTTGCGTTATATTCCGAATCTCAAGCTCAGTTCTATTTATTGATCCGCTTGCTTGCCAATATTTCGCAAATGCATCTCGTTATTTACGGTAAAATTAGAAATAAATTTAAAAATGAGAAATATATCTGCGTTGAATTGTCAGTGTTACGAAAAATCTTTATAATTACTTTTGTAAAAAATAGAATTCACATTCAAATTGAATATTGAAAAGTCCGCGTCTAGGCTGTTGATATATTTTTTCGATACTAGATGTCTCATGAGACAGCGTTTCTCGATAGTGCCACAGATAGACTGATTCCGTATATAAGAACTTTTTAGAACACCCTCCATCGGGTCCGATGCACCTGGGAAAAAGCTAACGATAAATCGTAATCTTAATTTGAAGTGTCGCTAATTTCAATACAGTTCAACTATCTCAGCCCTAGGTGTGACGTTGACCCATTTTGCTTTAAAGTGTAGTCTATTTTTTTTTTATCATTAAACTTAATCTCTGTCTTATTCTCACGTTGTGTCGTATATTTTATTTTTCCATTTTCATAAGATACTCATAAAATTCAATCGTATTTAACATGTTCAATGCGTTGGATTTCTAAGTTGCTTATTTTTCTATATTTTTCTATATATATTTAAATTTACATAATTAAAAATAAAATATTTATATGTTCATATGTGCGTTTCTCATTTTAAAGTATTGATATTAATTATATCTACACAATTATATATCTACACAATTATAAATATTATTTGCGAATTTCATCTTTTTGTTTACATCATATTAATATTTAATAATGTTATCGATATATAATCGGCGCAATTATCATAACTTGACTTTCCAGAATGAGGAACTTTCAGAATAAGTTCGGGAATAATAAATAAAATGTTTTTATTTTGCAAGACTTCGGAAAAGCTTACAAAACTTATACGTTATTATAAGTACTGCGAATTATTTCGTTCCTTTGATTCTATCTCTTTTAAAACAAAATCATACTTTATATAGAGGTTTCGTTTCCCTGACTTGAAACTCCGGTACTACAATCTGGTTGTCTTTCATCTGGAAAAAGAGATTTGTATTAAGTAGATTGTTGATAAATATTGTATTATGAATAATTAGACTTTTACCTTAACGTGAGCATATAATATAATTCCCACCAGCGTCAGCGTTATGCCAATGACTTGATTTATCGCTAACGTTTCGTGGAAAAGTAACGAACCTCCCAATAGAAGAAGGCAAAATTTGGAATGTCCAACCATATTATATCTGAGCATTTCGTTAAAGTATATAACGGAATTTGTTAATATCTCGTCATAAAATTAATATAAGGATACGTCAAAGGCGAAGTCTTTCCTATAATCCAGTAGGAAGTTAAATTGACAAAAAATGCAACCATGCCTGACAGTATCACCATGATCTGTAAATAACATACAATAGTTTAGTCCAATAATTTAGTAAGAATTTCTCAAATCCGTCAGCAATATTGTTAGAACATACTATGTCCAATAGTGACCAATTGTGTGTGAATGTCTGTCCAACTGGCTCCAAGATCGGGACAACAATCAAGAGCATAACAGCGGATAGTGGTGCTTGATAAAATAACAACTGCATTGGATCTATTTGAAATTCCTTCTGCTTTCTGTTTATCATCTACAAAAAATGTAACAAATAAGATAAATTAATAATGATTAGTATTGCATATATCTCTAAAATTAAAATATGAAATAAATATATTTCTGCTTTTCATATTTAAAAATGAGAATGAAAGACACGTACAACTTGATACAGAGATGTAACAAGTACTCCCAACGTGGCATAGATGGTTCCAATGATATTGAATTGTATATCATAATAAAAATTGATTATGACTCCTAGTGTGATTGGTATCAATGTTAGCTTAACAAGTATACCAAAACGCTTTCTATAAAATATCATCTGCATCATTATTACACAGGGTGTCGTTAGCATTTTCGCCACCTGATAGGTGCCAACCGTGTTATGAGCTAGACTTAAATTTGTCAGAACGACGAATCCACAGAAGGTCATGGCTATTAATACCATCTCTTTGATGTCAATATCCTTGATGCAAAAGACATCTAACTTCTCACAGATTATCAAGCCAATAAACGTCATAACAAAGTGTATCATAGATAATGTGATGTTCGGAAAGTGAGTATGAATATAGAGCCATTTGTTCAGCAGCACGATTATGATGGAGAAGGCAATGTTAAGTATCAGGTAGAACGCAGTGATTGCTTTTTTATTCATTTTTGTTTTCCTTTTTCAAAAATATGCCACCGTTGAAAATTAGAAATTTCATTAACGTAACAACATTAATGAACGACGTTGAGAATGATAGATTACATCTCGTAACGAGGCACGTACACGAATTCTAGCCGACTGCAACAGAGATCCTAATTAAAGGACCATTAACAACAATGCTATGATCGTTCCATTTACATTCGTTTATTTCGCCATTTGACAATCACGCAATTCGCACATATCGAATAACATGCCATATTTGAATGCCTGAAATATCGGTTTGATGATCATTCAACATTGTTTAACATTTCAGATAACTGATCATGATCGAGATCATAAACCATCACACAAACGCTACTGCAGGTAATGACCACGTGACTTGTTCCGGCAAATGCCCGTAAAGTCTATAGATTTGTTTTTTTTATAGTTTTAAACTAGCATACTTGTTAGTTAAAAGTACTTGTTAGTTAAAATAAAATAGATATATGTTCTAAGTTTGGTGAAAGCGAGAAAAAAAATTTTAATGTAGTCCAATGCAGCGATAAGCAAATTTAAAAAAAAGTTTAATCTCAATTCAAGTTAAATCTCAATCTAATCTAATCCAAACTGTAGATGAATTTTATCCAATATAATACAACCCTTTTTATCCAATATAATACAACCAAAAAGAAAAAGAACTGCTGAAAAAATTACTGAAAGAATTATTTAAAGAATTGTAATATTTATAATCAAGAGAATTGCCACAGGTTGCTAAAGATGATTTCTTTTTAAAAAAGGTAAAATAAATAATTCATTTTGATATATGTTATTAGATGCGTTATTAGTGCAATAAGGTGCAGATACTTTTATAATTATAATTTTTCTATTATAATTTTTTAAGAGTCAAATTGCAAAATCCAGCTCTTTAGCAAGCTTCGTAATTTTATAAATGCACAAAAAAATCTCATGTCAAAATATTGCTTTTACAAGATGAAATATGTTTAAATTCAAATATATCTAGAATTATCCACAGATAAAAAATAGATAACCTCACTGGAATTAGTCCATCATTGGCTGCGTTTCGATATTCACTGCCAGTACTGAAAATATATAGTTCAGGTCACGTATATTATAGATTTTCAGTGCTGGCAGTGAATTTCGAAATGCAGCCATTCTTGCTGATGTTATTGGAGTAGAGCTTAAAATTTATGTAAAATCTAAAAGAATGTACCAATGACAAGTTGCGGAACCGCTTGTGCTTTTTGAACACAGCCAATGAAATGAGCGAAAGATCTTTCAATAGTGCACGACCGTTGCATTTTCCAAACGCGAGCTAATCCTCTAGCTTCCGTATTTCATCGATGATACAAGCCAAGCACGAGGCGAGCGCCAAAAGCCGTTCGATAACCGCTAAAATCTTCAGCGGTTTTTTTTTCTGTGATGCAAAGTAACGGAATCGTTTTAGCGTCTCCCTGAAAAACATTGGAACATGGTAGAGTTCCCGCTTGGGTATCGCGAGGTCGTACCGGATCAAACTCTGCCAGAAAAATGGAAGGAAATTACACTGAACACAGGTAAGCGTGTTCTAACCTCTGGTCCGACCTCGACCGCCCGGCAAATCGAAATTTCGCTCGCGACGTCATATAAAGACGCCACAGGAGGCTGTTTGCAATGACGCGTAAACACAATGCTCGCGAATTAATGCTTTGTGCGAAGTTCGCAAATCGAAGTATCATTTTTACATGCTCGCCTAACCTCTGTCAATCTATCGCTTGTTCCGTATAAATTGATCTCTGAACATAAATTGAATATCAAGCGTGATTAATTTTGAATTTATATACGCGTCAAATGTATGTCAATTTGTTGCGTTCCGATAAAATTTATATCTAATTATAGTCATAAAATTAATAATTTTATGACTATAATTAGATATAAATTAATTATGTATTATTTCTTTTATAAAATTTTATAACATGTTTTTTTATATCTTTATAAGGAATAAGTAATACAAATTTGATTGTGATTTTTACAGGTGGAAGCCAAAGTACGTTGCAAGATATAAAAGTACCAGAGAGAGCAGGTGGCTACTCATACAAAGGTTCTTCCAAGTATTTCACTCGTAATCGTTTTATTTACTGGCGTATTTGCCATGACGTGCTTGAATTGGTTGAACACAGTTTGGATATTAATCTTGCTAATTGTCGAGTGAGATACAAGTTTACAGACACCCCAATTCTAGATGGAATTTCCATTCATGAAACAGTCAATTCTGTGATTATCTTGATTGTTACTGTTTCCAGTGTCCACAAACTTTCCTTTTCTCATCCTGACAAAATTCATAATCAGGTATATACAAATTTTTATTCATATTTAACAAATATTCTTTTAGTATGAATTAGTCTATTAATAATAATTTATTCTAGGAGAATTTATTGGGTACATATACTGATCTTAGTGTACAATCTATATTTGGCGAAGCCTCTGTACAAAATGCCAGAGATCCTCATACATTTCATATTATTTCCAATGCTGGAGCTACAAGTAAGTCTAGAGAATATAATGCAATACTTACGACTTAATAAATTTAGTTTTATTATCATATTGTGTTAGGTACTTATTCAAAAATATATCTTTTAGATTCTCCAGTGCCACATGCAGCAGCATCGTGGCTTACATTGCCGCAAGAAGAGGCATTATTCGCCCTTGCATATAGTTCAGCCACTATATTACTTCTGAGGCTCGACACACTTACAGGTCTTGTACACACTAGTGAACTGAAGCAGGACTCGATCATGCCAAAGTTTTTGAGTGGTATAGCTACTGCGTTCAGAAGTCGTAATACCGAAGCTCAGGTCGCCATGTCTCTCATTATACATAATTACGGTAGTGATACCTATTTATTTGCATTATGCCGTGAAGGCAATGTACGTATATGGTCTTGCAACAAGGCACAGTGCGTAGCTGTAACAGATGTGGCAACCGAGAATCGCGTTGTATCTCAAGGTGCACAAAGCCACGTTTTGAGGAAAGCTTTAGGCAATGATAACGAATTATATCTTGGAACTTTCTTAAAATTCGGAATGGGATGCGAGTTTAACATTCTGAAGCCCGTGCAAGAGAACGGCGTATTCACACTGGTTAAATTATGTACATTATATGCTCCAGACGTGAGTATTTTTATCGTTATGCCTTGTTCTATGTATTTTGTCATTAAATAGATGTAACAAATTTTGTATTATTTTTAAAACAGCAACATCTAGTAGATTTTGCATTCGTGCCAACTAGATTGTGGGCAGTGTGGAGAACTGTAGATATGGACGCGGTGGCGGTGACGCATGCACGATTACCGCTAACACATCATGGTAATCCTATATGGGAAACCACGATCTTGGAACAGGCGCGTGACAGAGATTACATCGTAACCGAACCTGGAACGGATCCGAGGGAAGCATACATCAATTATATTTTTCATCCTGGACAATTCTCATTGACAGACATCACGAAAGCTCTGAGCATTTATAGAAGATCCAATGTAGTGGCAGAAATGACTTTCTCACCAGCCGTTTTAAAGGAAAGAGTGTGTATGGCCGTTGAGGCCGAGATGCAAGCGGAAGTAATGGATTACGTAATTATGGATGAAGATTATCTCGAAATTGCTAATCGATGTTGGTCAAAATTTTATTCGTGTGTCGTTCAATATCATGCTAATGGCACTCGTCCCGTTGGTCTGTTGTTATTGCCAAACGTTCATGGGGTTGTGCTGTTGAAAAAGTCCTCATTCTCACTTCTAAGACCTATGGAAGCTTTAGAGCATCTAGTGCTTTGCAATGATAAGTCTTATATTTCTCGATTCAAGACAACACCTGTTCTATCGCAAGATGAAAACACATGCCAAGATCTAATTATGTTAATGTCGGCGTTGGTCATGCTAGGAATGCAGTTATCTGAAGAGATCAAAATGGAAATTGAGAGAGAATTGTATCATCTGAGAAGTCCGGATATCATAATCGATGATTTGCTGTCGAAACTGATATCAGAACCCGATGATCCAGTGAGTATCTTAATTTATTTTTTTATTCTTTATAAAGAATACTGAAAATGACTCATATAACACATGCATTTTTAAAAAAATGATTCATATAATACATGCATTTTTAAAAATAGCTATTGGATTTTAATTTTCAATCGGAACTCTGCCACAAACTGAATAATATTAAAGATATATCGGGTGCCATGGCCATGTTGTTGGAAGCGTTAACATATGATCTTGGGCAACCGAACAAGTTGCAATTCGAGGACGATCATGATACCTCAAAAATTTTGTTGAATGTCAGTCATCTGTTTGGCAGCCAGCTCGGAATTTCCGCGGTAGCAGAAACCATAACACAAATAGCGCTTTTGAGATTCTCCATCTGCAGAGATCTATTAATACTGCAACAATTTATATTGCTGCGTCCTAAGATATTCAATTCGGAATCTTTGCACGCTATAAGATCATCGTTGGCATCGCGAACTGTTGTACTTACTCAAGCTTACTATGTCGTCACGTGGATATGTGAATCTACGGCAACATATACTCCTTCACAAGCGTTGCTGTAAGTTTTGTCGCATTTTGATGCCAAAAATCACATAAATTTATTTCTGATTGTCATGCGATATTTAAATAATATTGTGAAAATGTATAGAAAAAAGATTATGAAATTTCCAGTGAATCCAGCTCTCAGCGTCTTTCAACTCTTAAGCTCGCTGATTCGCGGATTAATGTTGGACAAAGGCAGCATCGATCTCTCTCGCTTTTGGAGCTGTTTATTCATAGCAGTGGAGCGAAACACGCTCATATTCTAATGGCCCAGGCGAATATGGATCCAACGACTCTGATACCTTGGCATTATAGTATGCTGACACATGTGACGCTCATCGCGCAACTGATGTATCCTTTAGTAGTAACAATTTTAACATATTGTATTGAGTATAAATAATCAGATTCATTGTTTCTTTATGCTTTCTTAATATAAATGCAATTAGATGGCCAATATCCGGAAATTTTATCTTTCCCGAATGGTTACTCTCCAGTTGTCAATTCTTACTTGTTCAAGAATACGTGCGACTTTTGAATACATGGTGCGAGTGGAATAGCGCCTCAAGAAGATTCATATTAGCAGTTGCCTTATTAGAAATGGGAGAGATGCAAAAGGCATGTGATCATTTTCTCCGAGCTTCCAATGGAATATCGACCGATGTGTTTTTAGTGAATGCCTTACTCAATTCTAATGTAACGTCGAAAAATAAGGACTTAGTTCATTATTATCTGAAAGTTATTAAATTGTTCGAGGAACACAATGCATCCGATTGTATCATGGAGATTGCCGAAACGGCCATTGCAACGGCAGATTCAGATGATCCAAATTTGCCGACGCTTCATTCCATAATATTTGCGCAACACTTAAACTTAGGGCATCATACAGAAGCTTACCATTGCTTAAAAACAAATCCAGACCCTGTGCGTAGAGTGGATTGTTTGCGGCAATTAGTCGTTACGTTATTTGAAAAAAAATTGTTGATAGATTTAATTTCTTTTCCTTATGTTGATATGTATGAGGATCTCGAGAGAATAGTAGAAGGCAGAGCCAGAAGCGTCGACCTCATGGAAAATAATTATTATAACTTTTTATATAGTTTTCATGTCAATAAGCAAAACATGCGAAAAGGTGAGTTTCTTATTATATAACTAAAAAAATACGAAACTAGGAAAATAGGAACCATTGGTGTAAATTACTATTTGTTATTTCTACAGCCGCATCCATAATGTACGAACAAGCTATGCGTTTAAGTCAGGAGCCTCATTCCGCACCGATTATAGCGAAGCAAGCGCAATGTCTACTGGCTTGTATAAATGCTTTACATCATGTAAGCGAGAAGTATAGGTGGATCGTAAGGCCTGTAATTGATCATAATGTTTCTAATGAACTGAACTCATCAAATCCGCAAAAGAAGAGAAGTATTGACGGAAAAGAGGTGTTACATTACAAAATAAAGAAACAAGTTGAAGTGCTCGAGTTGGATGATATAAAAAAGGAGTATTATATAGTAGATGCGAGATTAAAAATATCAAAAGTAAATTCAGAGATGCATATTGTTGCACATACGGGTAAGTTTTTCTTGTATTCATTTCTATTTCTAATGTGGATTAACCTCGATTTAATTAATTTTTTATATTTTTCTAATTATAATTATATTGAATTTATTATGCAAATTATTTTTATAAGAAAAATATGAATGGAAGTTCTTGTAAAATCAAGACTGAAAATATATATTTATATCTTTCAGAATTATCCGAACTTATTGTCACTTTATGTAGCACTGGTTTGTACGCAACGGCATTACATTTGTGCGATGAATTTAAAATTAGTAAAGCTTCCGTACTCAAAAGTTTAACTTCTCAATGTATCAAATTAAGTCAACGCGAAGATCCAAATGCCTGGGATTGGTTAATACAAAATGATATATTTGGTACGTATAGTTATTATAATTTTCATTCAGGTTATTGTTGTAAAATTTTTTTCTCCAAAGACTATATAGACAATCAATATTTTTTTCCCAGATATTGGAATATCTAATACAACTATTACAAACACCGCTTGGAGACTGTTAGAGTATTTCACATTAAAACACGAAAAAGATGATAACTGTGAACTACATAAGGCTGTTGCGCAAAAATTATTGCAAGATGGAGCTTTTCTACCACAATGGTTATTAATATCGTATAAAGTAAGTGATCAAACATTTACTTATAATATTTCTATATTTACAAAATATATTTTCATAAATATTATAGAAACGTAACGCCTCGGAGCTTCTTCGTCTCATGCTAAATACTGGCAGACTAGTGGAAGCCAGCGATTTAGCGGTAGATTATATTAATGCGGTATTAGGTAGCGGTAAAGAATATTTTGGTTTTGAAACGCCATTAGTAGCTACCGCACCACCTATTTGGCTACCGCTTAATACCATAGAAGTATTATTAAGTGAATTACGACACTGTAAAGACTCTGTTCATATAGAGGTATGATAAAGATATATTCTTTTATATGTATATTTATGTTAACATAAGCTTACAATAAGCTTGATACAATCCGAGATCTACATTTCAGAGCTACGAAAGATTAAACTCAACATTGGAAAAATATCTAGAAACGGTAGAACGCGTTTCGGAAGATATGATTAAAATGAAGATGATGAAGGAACAATCCTAGGTATACAGTAAGTAACATATCAATTTATTCAATGTATATAATATATATGATTACAATAATTCTTGTATATATTAGTTTTGAACACTCAGTTAAATGTGGAAGGAATATATATAATGATATAATAATCAATAATTATTTAGTATAAATGCATTAAGTATAAACTGGTTCCTGATCAAGCGATAATATAGTTATCAATATAATAGTCATACCGATTACTGCAGTAACAATCGTAGCTACTGTACGAGGACATCGTTTGAATAATACCTACAATTTCGTTTGAAATTTTAAATTTTAATTAAACATTTTATTAATAAAAAATATTATAATTGCAATAAACTAATTATTACCATTAGCAAAACAGCCACTATAATAATAGAAATAGATTCGGTTGGTAGCAACCAAGATGCAGCCCAATAACGTTCCCTTTCAGATTCTACAAAATAGAAGTCTTATAAATATTTCTAACTTATAAGACTATTAATTTTTATGTTAAAAACTTACCTATTTGCCAATTTCTAAATTTTTTATAAATAGGAGAAGAAGATCTTGTTACAATATTTCCATATTTTTTAATTGCAGAATCAAGCCAGCTCTTTGTATCTGCAGTTCGCGTATCATATTTCAACTGGTCTCCTGCGATGTACATACTTATGTCAGTTTATATTATTAATACAATAACTGGAAACAGTATAAAACAAAGTTATCATTTATAATTTCGGAAGTTGATTTTATATATCTATTAAATGTGAGTTTTCCATTATGCAATAAGAGAATTTGTTTGTATGGTGATTTAAAGTGCCAAGAATGGATTGTAACATACTACTTTTTTTTACATATTTTGTTAGAATACAATTCACTGGTAAGGATGCTTTGTTATTTGGAAGAATGTTTAGATTTTAATTTTGAATTATTGTATCTTGTTATTTATTAATTCTACAGCTCTTTAAGAACTTCTTCGGATAAGCATACAGTAAAAGTTGTCAGATTTTCTCATTTGTTATGATTTCATGTTGCAATTCCTCAACCTTACCTCTTCTGTAATCTAACAAAATTTACTGTATACAACACATTCTCTCATTAAAGACTGTTACTGATTTGCATCATTTTCAATAGTAGGATAATATTATTATATAGGAATAATTTCTTCTATTTTTACATATTAAACTTAATATTGAGAAACAATTTTGTATTGTTACCATAAATTTTGCGATGTTACTGTGTGTTTATAAATCAATGTTTTTATATTCAACTTTTATTTAAATCCTATCGTACCAAGATAGAAGATAACATTTATTATAAGAACAAAATGAGACAATCCTGTGTGTAATTTTAAAAAGAAAAATTGTATAGCTATAATGTATATAATGATAAAAATATTCGTTATTATTTTATTAAGTATTATAATTGAACATATGCCTCATATTTCTTATACATATGTTTCAAAATGACGATACGTGTGTAATTAAATTACTCGCGTAATTAACGAGTAGGTAATTTACAAAACAAAATGTAAATATTTCTTACAAATTTATCGTCAAGTGAGTTTCATATAGTCATCGACAGTTGAATCAATGAAAGACTAATTTTGTAAATCGCCCGTTATTTTCCACAAAATATTAGCAAAAATGTAAAACCAGACTTTTCCAAAAAAACTGCTGATAGCAGAAATAAAATTTGCTCCATTTCATAGTCATTTAAGTAAAATGATCTATTTAGATCATAATGTATTACTTGATTTTTCCATTGTATTTATTATTGGGTTATAAATGATTTAAACTGTGATTAACTTACCAAGTAGCATCCTGTATTATTTTGTTAACAAAGATAGAATTATCAATCTTTCATTGTTAAACAGATAAGAAGAAAGATGAGATGAGGGACCATGGATTCATACAGAAATAAAAATTCTGCCTCGAGCAATTTCACTGGTTGAATCAATCCTTGATTAAGTTAATCCAATCATTTGGTCGAAGTCAGCAGGTTCAAAATCTAATCCTTATTCCACATATCTGATTAAAAGTATGTTGACAATTATTTATAATATAAAATTAATACACATAAGGAAGAAACTTAGTCCTTTTCTTTAAATATCAATCTAGTCTTTAGATCATTGAAAGCATGATACTTCAAGTCCCTCCTGAGTCAGAAATCCAAGAAGAGAAAAGGAAAATAGCGCTTACCTTGGTGCACAACATCTCCCTCGACATCGTCGCCTAAGCTAAGTCAAAATCGACGTGATCAACATGCGGTTGGCGTATTCTGACCCGCTGCGCGTGCACAGAAACATCTTTTATTGTCTTTATGCAGACTGATCAGCGAGATAAGGGAGTTAAAAGTCCAGACGCTTCCCTCGCCGCGTGAGACACAGACGCTCGGCTCGATTACACTTCCCTGCACTCGGCGCAAGATTAATTTCTTTCCTCATTTCAGTCCGAATTTCTTCGTCCACAAGAGATCCGACATTCTCGTACGAACCTCTGGAGGAGCGGGACGAGAAAAGGACGAAGGGACGTTGGAAGTGGCGTTGGAGAATTTTCTTCTTGTGTATCACGTGTGATTGTAAGCGGTAACTGCTCTGAATCATCTCCTCCTCATCTGACTCTCGAACTTGACAATTCTTCGTCTATCCGGATGCACGGACTCGATGGCATGGCGGCGTGTTAAAGAACCGGCTGTTTTGTTGATGTTTTGTACATAGGCGGTGCATCGCGTGAGATCGTCAGGATGATCAAAATATCAGCGCTCAACGAGGAATCGAGTGAGGAAAGCGAGGAGGAGGATGTACCCACGATTACTAAAGAGGCACAGGTAGAGTATGTCGTCTGTTTACATCGGGTATAACCTCAAAGATGCTACAAGATCATATATACAGATTTATTAAGAAAAAATAATATATAATGAATAAATAAATGTAACCATCAAAACAAAAATTGAAATAATAACATGGGTAAAAATTAATTAAATCATACTGAAGTATCCTATATAAGTTGAAGATATTTTCATAATTGAAAAAAAATCAAAAAAAGAAGAGACGCTTTTGTTATCTCGTTGATTTATAATGCGCCTTTGCATCATAAGTTATTTATCCAACAATCTTATGGATAACGAGCAAAGTCACTCTGAAGAGACAAATAATTGAATGCACAGAGATCTGTGTTCTTGACTCATTTGTATGCGACTTGTATACGTATATTTATTGCTGCCAATGTAGATTAAATTAAATCAGATTAAAGTTGCTCTATATACATATTGATAGAAACGAACATTACAATTAAAAAGAAAGACAAAAAAACAAACTGATATTATGTTTAGTTTGTATTGATAGACATCAAAACTAAAAAAGACAAAAAGATTGAGTATTTTCCATTTAGTGACAAATTGACACAAATATCATTTTGTTACTTATTGAATGCTAAGAAAGATAAAACGACGTTTGTATTGACTTGTGTTATTAAATAGAAAGCACCTATTAAAATTAATCTATATTCATAAAGATAGACATAAGTCGAAGATATCTGATATATGTATTCTATGATATGTAAAATGTGAAATAATTTTTTTCAGGAGCAAATAGCATTGACAGAATACAATAAAGCCTTAGAGTTATTGAAAGAGAACAAACGAGAGGAAGCACTGGTTATTTTTAAGGATCTCCTAGAGACCGAATTGCTGGATGAAGTGGTAAAGCCTGAAGTGCCAGATGGTAGGTCCAGACCAATGTTATCTTTGAAATATTCCTGCTTCAAGAATATTGCCGCCATCCAGGCAGCCTGTGAGAATTATAGAGATGCCGTGGAGAATTATTGGGAGGCTGCGAACTTGGATGATTCGGATGTAACGCTATGGCATAGGATTGGTACATTAGCTATGAAGACTTCTAATCTAGAATTAGCTTGCTCGTCTTTCAAGCAAGGTCTGAAGTGTAACGTCAATCATTGGCCATGCTTAGATAACTTAATAACTGCCTTATACGCCGTTCCCGATTATATGAACTGTCTATTATACATTTCTGTGGCGTTAGAAAGGGATCCTAATTATGTGAAGGGTTTGGCTTTCCGTGACAGAATATTTAAAGATATTCCGTGTATGGAAGAGTGTTACAAATTGTACAATAGCGATTGGCAATTGGATCCACCTTTATATACTGAGTATGATCATGTTTTGGGTGATAAATTATTAGCAGAGGCGAAGGAAGTTTCCAGAAAATGGGCAGAAGTTTGCAAAGCAGAGTTTACGCCAAAACCTCTGCCGGAGTTGACCTTAAGAATGCCTTTGACAAGCTGTACATGGTTGGCTCTTGGAGAAAGTATATTAGACATGCATAGGTATATCACTGAAAACAATTTAAATTTTGTTAGTAGAATCATATTACCAGTTCAAAAACCTGACGATAAGAATACAGTGAGTAATGAGACCGAGATTATAGAAAGTAATGTAAATATAATGGAAATAGATCAACAGAATGATTCAACTCCGAATGGAGAGAATGATATCAGCAAATCTATTAAAATTGAAACTGAAGATTGTGAGATGTCGGATGACAATCAAGTTTTCAATACAGATACAGCAATGGAAATTGAAATCGAGGAGGATAAAAAATCTTGCTCAACTGACGTTCAAATAGTTGAAGACGAAGATGTATTGAGAATGTCTGACACAGACGGTTTACAATGCGAAGAACAGGCCGAAACGAAAAATATGGAATCAGAGGAACAGGGACCCTTTGAAACAGATGCAAATATCGATAAGTTGGAAGGCGATAAAGTCACGGACGATGTTTATAACATGGATAATGGAGTACCTAATGAGAAATCTAGTGACAAGGAGAGTGATAAATCAAGTGATAAAACTTCTGAAAAAGGTGCTGAGAAGACGAGCGATGGGATGTGCAAGACCGACGATAAAACTAATTCCGAGAAAGCGGACGGAAAGGAAGAAGGACAGAAGGTGAAGAAAAGGCGCAGAAGTGCATTATGTTTTTTGCAGCAATGGGCTTGGAGTTGCAGCAGTATGAGACGATCTGCGAGAGTAAGAGGTTCAAATAGAAGAGAAGCAGAAAGAGACGATGTTCAGTTAGAAGAAACGCTTAAACGACTGTTTCCTAGTACTTTATTGTATGCATATTAAATAATTTAATTAGTTTAGAGTTATAAAATATAATTTGTTTTAATTGATTATTCTTATAGACCTGATACAGTGAGATTGACTAAAGATGATGCTACTAAAAATCTCGATGATTCTATGGACACTATGGATATGTATCAGTTATTTGCGAATCAAGAAACTAATAAAAATATGGAAACTCTCAAAAGCTCAGAAAGCTCTAAATCGCCAAGTCCTGACACAAGGTATTTATCTATATAGTTTAATCTTTTATCTTTTTTGATAGGAAATATTAATCTCATTTTATCTACACAGTCAACCACAGAAGTATTTTGGATCAGAGGTCGAAACTGCTGATATAGATGCATTTATAAATCAGCATAGTGGTAAAAGTAATTTAATGATAATTATCGCAAAATTTGCAGAATTTTTATGTACTAAATGGAATCAAGAATGGCCGAAAGGAATGTCAGATATTTACTTGCAAGCATACATCTTTATGAGGTAAACGCATATAGATTAATTGTTACACATCGCTTAAAACAAAAAAATTTGAATTTAAAAAAATTTTCAGACAACATGTCCCACATTTATCTCCATTTGATGAGGATGTCAATGATAAAGTTCTAAAATTAGATACCGAAATGACATTGTTATTTGGTGAGCTTCATACGGACAGATGGCTAGATAATAAACCAGATACCGTGCCAAATCCAACGTGAGTTTCTATTAACGTTATTTTGTTTGATAAGCAATTTTTTATATATAAATATAATTTTTATTACAGACTAGATAAACTTGGTACTGGAATACCAGCTGAAGAATTAGGACATATAATATTTGCAAGTGTTAGACAGGATCTTTTAAGTGAAGAAAATTTAAACACCTTACTGAGAATTTTATGGCTTAAAAGTAATATTTTCCTGTGCCAAGGTGATATAGACATAGTCATAGAAACACTAGAATTGGTGAGAAAAATTTTTTTAAATATTAAAATAATTGTTATTGCAAACTATAAATATAAATTTTTTAGTTATTGAATCGTCTACATGAAATGGAAAGTAAAAGTCTAAATCCATGTATTATGCTTCTCAATTGTAAAAATAATTCTCAAATCAGTACCAAACTTGTGAAGAAAAAACTTACATCAATTCAGAGGTAATTTTTTTAAATCTTAATACTAATATATACTTGTTAAAATATCGAATATGAAAACAGATATTTTAATTAAATAATTTAATTTTTTATTATTATAGAGGTCAAAAGTTAGGTGAAATTCAACATTTGTATGAAGAAAAGAAATATGCAGAATTGTCTTATATATTGCAAGATACTTTTAAATTTGCCAAACAAAGACACAAACTATTGGTAACTAATGAAAATATTGTTGACAGAGTTCGACAATTAAATATGTTGCTTGACAGCTTGTGGCAACTTAAACAGTATGAGGTAATAAATATCTGCATATTAAAAAAAGATATTGAATTTTTAATAATAAACATTTTTAATAATAACATTTTTAATAATAACATTTAATAATAATTTAATAATCCTGAACATTTCCAGGAATGTTACGTCTGGGCAGAAGCTTGTCTAAATGAATCGTGGCAAAATTATTTGAGCTCTTCTGACGAAACTGAGCAGAAAAAGTGGACGAGTTCTGTTGTAACAGCACTTGAAAAATTAGAAGCTTGTACTATCGAAGTCAGCGTATTCATCGGTAAGATTATAATTTTATCAATAATGATGTAATACAATGTTCTTGTAATACAATGTTATTATCACATTGATTACATGATTTATCGTAATTGTAGTGAAATATTTGCCAGAGTCTCGTTTATCGAGATTGGTACAAAATCTAGTTCACATTGTTTGTCATCAATTGGATGTACCAGAAAGCGCTGTGGAGATGCCGTTGGAAACTGTTCTACCGTGGATTCTGTTACATTACATTTTGCAATAGTAAGTTTGTTAAGCAATACATACATATGTAATATTATTTACCGTATGCATTATACGAAATTGATTTGTCAATAGCGAAGAAGATAAAGAGAGAGCAAAGACTGAATCCTCTTATAAAAATAAATTGCATAGTTCTCATCATTCCGAATCGGATGACGAGGACGATGGTATTCCACCGTCCATTATGATTTTATTCACTGCCCACGAATTTATCGGTAGACATTCATGGTGTTGTTTCAACGAGGCGAAACTTCTATTCTTTATTATGAATCTTATTATACCGCAACTTGAAACCCCTCTATACGTTTCTATCAAGAACAGACTTACGAAATATTTGGAACAGATATTCTATTGCCTATATGGTCATCCAAATAGAGTAAATAAGACGCGGCCGAAATATCTTCAGGATCATGGAGTACCGCAAATGGAATTAACTTGGGATGGGGCGCAGCTACTGTTTGACTTTTATAAACCGAAACAGCTGCCAAACTTTCAATCTTCCAAAATTCATTCTATCAGCATGGATACAGAGATATTGTTTAAGAGAATAATCAGATTAGTCCCGCAAGACAGTGATCCAAGTCAAATAGTGGATGAAATGACAGCGTATATACTCGGCACGAAAGACAAGATGCCGAGCGTAATAAAACCTTTACCGCACGCGATATCTACCATTTATTATTTATTGGGTGATTTTTACTTCAAGAATAATAAATGGGAACATGCATGCCGATATTATCTGCTAGATTTATGTTTATATCCAAGAGGATTGAATTCGTGGGCAGGTTTAGCTATGGCGACAGGCAGCATAATAGAGAATTGGTTAAACAGTTACAGACCTATGTAGGTATTATTTTCTGAATTTTATTTCTTTAAATTATGCATCGATATCGATATTATGTATTTGTCTTCAATATTTTTAGAGGAAAAGATAAGTTTCTCAATAAGGCAAAGATGGCACAGTCAAGTTATCAACATGCTATCGAGTTGGCACCTGGTCATTCTGTAATTTGGACGGAGTATGGGAATTTTGTTTACATGGTTCATTCATTTTGTTCGCGATTGCTCAAGCAAGAGACCGACACGTTGAGTATGGAGAGATTTGAAATTCTGGAAACTAGAAAGGAAGAAATGCTAAAGATTGCAGATCAATGCTTTGAATCTGCTAATCGGATATGTCAAACTATTGAAGAACCATCTATGCAACATGATGAAAGATGGCTTTATCAATATATGCTTGGCAAAGTTGCAGAAAAGAAAAATCAAGATCCTCCTGTATTCTTGGAACATTATGCAAAGGTTAATCATCGTATTCTTATATTATTTCTTCTTTTTATTGATACTTGATTAATACTATTTTCTAATTTTAGGCTAGTGAATTGTTATATGAGAATAACGCTTACTATCCACGTAGAGTTAGCCATAAGAGCCCGCAGAATTTATCTATAGAGGCACTAGAAGTTCATTATCGCATTCACGCAAGTATACTAAAATATTTGGAACAACACGAAGGAAAGCCACTGAAGAAATCGTTAGGTCAATTGTTTCGCTGGCATCTTAAAAATTGTTCCGAAGGTCCCTTTATGAAGTATCAATCTAAACTTAATGAAAAGAAAAAGGAAGAGCTCGCCGATAATGAAAAAAATATTTCGAAGGAACTCGATGGTACAGCGGACATGGATAAAAATATAATATGTCAACGCTCAAATAGTATCGAGGAAATAGAAATCGTAGATAAGTCAAACAAAATTATTGACATTAAGTCTACAGAATTAGGAAAGTTTGAAAGCCGTAAGAGATTTCCCGATGAACTGTCACATGACAATACGAAGAGAATAAAATTAAGTAGTGTTTCGCACTTACAATTAATGCAAGACGTCGTAGCTTTAATAGACGATTTAATTACTAAAGTTTGCAATATGGTGTCGCAAAAGGAGAAATCGAACGATGATATAATGATTATATCTAGTGATGAAAGTAACGAATCAAAGTTACAAAAAAGGAAACTAGAAAGCAAAAATGCTGATAAAGCAAGATCACATCCAAAAACAGATGAGAATAAGAAAAGTTCGACAAATATACTGACAGTCGACTCTGAACGAAAAACTGACGATGTACAGGATTTAATGGATGCTCTCATGAAACAGGCGATGGAAAGTAGTCAGGAAACTCAACAATCTTCAGCAGATGACGAGGATACCAGAAGATTTGATGGCAAGTGGTTGCAGAACGAAGATTTACAATCTACTGTAAGTTTATGTTACTTTTGTATTTTACTAGTATTATGTAAATTTTTAACATTAATTAATACAAGCAATTAATTTTAATATATAGGAAAAAGAAAGTAAAGACAAAGTAGAAGAAAGAAGAAAAATACAAGCCAGCGCGAATGAAGAAATGACTTTAAGTAGAAGAGGTTCTCAAGAAAGCACCACTACCACGCAAACCACAACTACGACTACAGAAACAAATAATTCGAGTTCTAGTAGTAGTGAAGAATCTAGCAGCAGTGACGACAGTTCTGATAGCGATAGTTCTAGCGATAGTGATAGCGAATCTGTCGACAGCGATGTGGACAAGAAGAAAAAAGATTCTGATAATATAGAAAACGGTAAAATATACAATTATTCTTTATTTTAATTATTAATAAATTAATTTATATATTTTACAAATAACGTATTAGTGTATAAAAAGTTACAATTTATTAATATATACGTATAATGTACAAAGTTTATAATTTTACATTTATATTTTAAAATCCAGAGGAACAGATGCCAGAGGAAGAAGTAGCATCATTAATCGCATATTGCTTAGCTGGTTTGGAACAGTGTATATTAAGATTCGCAGAACATCACAAGTCATTTTACAGACTTTCACATTTCTTTTTTAATAATAAAAAGGCAAAGAATATCATGAAATGTAAGGACCTCTTATTAGGGACATATACTTGTCAATTCTATCCTGGACAAACATTTCAAGGACTTTTTGCTGAGAGAAGAAGCACTAACTTTTTTAACGTAAGTATTTCTTTATACATGATGCTTGTCATAGGTGATACATGTCATATAATACAAAGTTAAAAACTAATTCGAAGTAGTGAAATGAAAAATAATTTAAATTAAAATTTTTAAAGATATTTTAATAAGAAACGTTTGAATGCATTTTTGTTAAAATATTCTACAATTTTCACATTATGTACTGGATTATTGGGATTTGCCACAACTGAACCTTTTGCATCACCAACAAGTACTGAAGTTAAATGAGTTTCAAATGATCGCATTATTATATCCGGTTGTAATGCGATTGCCATAGTGATACCATCTGATGGTAGCCATATATTATTTCCTTTTTCCAAAGCCTTTCTTTCAGCTAGATGCAAGAAGTTTGCGATAGAACTGTCTATATTATTATAAACACTTGTATATTCATCCTGTTGAAAAAAATTTAATTATTTAAAAATTAAAGTGCTCAAGTGCTTACAGATATGCTTATAAATATTATGACATTTACTTGTGAAAAAGCATGAGAGTTTACTGTGTCTATTGGGAGAACAATACTAGGTTTAACAGTATTATTTAATGCAATCCAGTTGCTTTCTGGGTCTTGTTTAAAATTAAATTCAAGCTCGCCATTTTTTAGAGTTCCTCCCATCATAATATGTTGCTTTACTAAATGTAAGAAATTAGGTTCTAATGCAATTGCTGTAGCAATTGTTGTTAAAGGTCCAAGAGTGATTACGATTATTTCACCTAAAAATAAAATAGATTGAATATATTTGTATATCACAATACATATGTCAAATTAATAAATATGAAGCTAATGCTTTAGGCAATTTTTAAAATATAAATAATTATACCTGGATATCGTTTCACTAAGTCAACAAGCAGTACAGAAGCGTGTTTTGATCTGTCAACTTTCGCAGTTATTTTTTGAGTAAAATTAAAATCTCCAAATCCATCATCGCCAAAATAATAATCAGTTGTATACTTGTTTATTAATGGTTTGTGAGCACCAATGTACACAGGTACCTGTCATGTTCGTACAAGACAAGATCTTTAAATATTATAAAAATTTGTAATGTAAAAAAAATTTGAATATTAAAAGCATCATTAAATGCTCACTTTTCTGTCAGCAACTGTTAAAATCTTCAACAAGTTCTTTTCCGCGTTTTCCACATTTGTGTTGCCATACGTAACAGTTATGGCTAGTATGTCGATATCATGACTTTTACTTTCATACATTAGAGCTAATATTACTGCTAGAGCATCATCTCCTCCGGGATCTGTATCTATTATTATTTTTCTTGGTTTGTGGCCATGGCCGTGTTGTTTACTGTTTTACAGAAAAATATGTTGGTTATTTCATTAACATAGTTGTATATATTCTAATATCATATACTTAAAATATTATATTTGTAAATGAATAAAATATATTCATTTACAAGATTTATAAAACAAAAATTCTTTCTCTTATTTTAGCGATAGTTTATGATAGATTATAAAGAAAATCGAATTAATGTTTAATTATTACCTGATGACAAAACAAAGTAGACATAGAATTACTATAATCTTGGACACACCATAAATTATAATCATATTTTCTTAATTATCTGATAAGATCTGTAATTATATGAAATTAATATATCGTAAAATTAAAATAAATTTTTAATATATCATTTATTATATATTTGTATGAATATATAAATATATTTTATACATTTTTATATATCTATAAATATTTTCTAAAAATATGTAATTTACAGGGAGTATGGCATATACCAGTCAATGAAATAGACAGACCTGGAAGTTTCGCCTCACATATGTCGAAATGCGTAACGTTACTCATGCAAGTATTGAAAGAAAGCAATGACAGTCGAATGTTAATGCAATTATGCATACAGCTCGGAAAAATTCCAGATTCAGATAAGTAAGATCAAATAAATAAATTTAGAATTTACTTCACCATTAATAACACAATATAAGAAAACAGGATTGTTTGGCAAGATATATAAATATGATATATTGTTTTTAGAAAATACTTACGTGATTCTGAAAGAGAACAGTTATCTCGACAAGCTCTGACACTTTGTCAACAGTCGCTCAGGAGTAGAGTTCAGGCGATGGGTTCGGCAAGCACGATTGATAGCGTTCACCTCATTCGAACAGACGCTAGAACACAAGTATTATTAGATGTATATGAAACATATCAGCTTGTTCAAAAACATTTACAAGGCAAAGAATCGACTATACAAGCATTTGCAACATTATTAACTGATACATACAAAATGTATATAGGGAATAAAGTAAGTGTAATAAACTTTAAAGAAATTATATACTTAATAATTATAAGCTTAGAATTAATTCTATCTATGTATATCTATTTTATGCATAACTTCAAGACAGAAGA